ATTGACTCCAGGGAGGAGATAGGAAGTAAGTTGGTGTGGCACCCGAAGGTGCCCGCGCCGAAAGGTGCGAAGAGCCTAGCGCCGGTGTCGCTTTATTCTTCCGTGGGGGAGCTCTCCTCTTCCTCGCCGAACAGTTCCCTCAGCCGGGACGCTGTAACCGGGTTGCACTGCACCGCCGTAATGGACCGGATCTTGGGCAGCGCTGATTTCCGCCGCTTGGCCCGGAGGTCCCGGAAGCGCTCCGGTGTTCGCGAGCGCTTTGACGGGCCCGGCGCACGTCGAGGGCTGGTGTTCGTGCTCGACGTGCGGTGCGACGGGCTAGTCAAGCTCGCTGACTCGGCGGGCAGGCTTGACGGTCGAGCTGGTGTCGCCGGAGGCTCTCCAACAGGGCTCGGCGGTCGCGCCGGCGCCTTTGGTTGCGGCGGTGCTGATGGCCGCAGGCTCGGAGGCTGTCTCCGTACCGGACTCCGCGGTCGACCTGGTGTTCGCGGCTTCCGCGGCGTCGTCGGCAGCGGACTCAGAGGCCGAAGTTGACCCGGCGTTGGTGGCTTCCGCGGCGTCGTCGGCAGCGGACTCAGTGGCGCCGGCGAAGAACGAGGCTGGGCGCAGCCGGCGCTCGTTTGAGTAGAGCGCGAGACTCGTGTGGCGATCGGACGAGGTCGTGGATCCGCCAGTCTCCACCTTGTTACCCTCTCGTCCGGCAAGTCCACCAAGATGAGCCGCCACGGGAGGAACGACACCCCTGGATCTAGGCGTCGTCCTTCGCAGACCTCGGCCGACGGAGGAGGGCTCCGGTGTCGTGCGACGGGTGCCCTTGCGGCTGGAGGACGCTCAGGTCCCAGCCTCCACGAAAGCTCCGGCTCGTGGTCCGACGGGAGACTCCCGGGTGGAGCGGCGACGGGCGCTCCTGCGGCCGGGGGACGGTCCGGTCCCCGCTTCCTGGCTCGTGGGATGGTGGCGGCCTTCCTTCTCCGGCGACGTAAACTTCGCCCAGATGGGCAGAGGAAGGGAGGCAGAGGAAGGAGACAGAGGCCTGGTAAAACTTTTCGATCGGAAGGCCGGGACTCCCGCTTCCTTCCGATCGCAAAAGGGACAAGCTCACTCTGTGAGGTTACGAGGACTCAAGGTGCTTCAGGATAACGGCCTACTAGGTAAGCTCACGTTATCCTGAAGCGAGGAATCAGGCTGAGGACCTCCCACGGAGTCATACATATACCAGGCGTTGGTGTTTCTTCCTTACGAGATTTGTCGTGGCGCCTGCGGCGCCTAGCGGCGGCGCCGCGCACCACTCTCGTCACATGGCGGGCGCGCGCGGGCTCGGCGCGCGGGCCAAACGCGCGTGCATTATTGAAAGCGTACCGCTACAGCATGATGTACTTTTCCATTTTAAAAAGAAAAACAAATGCATATTTGGAGTTTTTTATTATTAATTTATCAATATATATTGTGACGTGACGTTTTGCGACAACGTCCGTCACAAGGGCTCATTAGCCCGACCGTAACGGCTGAGTGGATCCTGCGTCCTCCGATTTTCGAGGGCGAGCGCATCTACGATTTTGCCATGTTCCGCGACTAACATTTTGTGATAGGATTAAACCGTTAGGCCTTGCCCCGACCGAGATAAGCAAGGGATAGCGACTATTCGGAAGAGATTGTATTAAAGCGTCGTCTCACCGGCTCCGAGTAACGAGGACTCCAAGGACGAGAGACTGCCACGACATGCACTCAGCAAGACGGGAGCACAGGTCACGCAATTACGCTTTCTTTTTTCTTTCTTCACAGAGCCCTCTTACTACTGTTATCTTTTACAGAGTTTTCGGAGCGAGCCGACGGCCCTGCCAGGAGGCCCCGACAGTACAAGGGCGCAGGAGAGCTGAGACGAGGGCTCGCTCCACGTATCGAGGGCCAGAAACCCTCCCAGCAAGTCAACTTTAAAACTTCGCGCCCGTTATCACGGGGCCCGCGACTGACGCTACCCTCCTGCGGCGCAGGGGGTCGCGAAAGAGGGACTCACGTGACAGGAAGAGATAGCGGAAACCGGCAGATGGCCCCGCTACCAACGTGCTCCCGGCGCTGCGAAGGATCGGCACTCGTGCCGTGATCGTCACCACTACCTGACGTGATTATTGTAAGGGACGCAGGATCCACTACCAGGACTGAGTATCGAAAGTCTACGAGAGTTAAGAGTTGGGGAGCCTACGGTGAGACGAACGTCGCTACTTTTGTTGAGTCGCCAAGTTTCGCGAAGCGAGAGGGCCGTGCAAGAGTAAAGATTTCTTCAGCGTAGCGGCCGCGAGTGCCGTGTACGATAGAGTTGCGAGTATTACTTGTTCCGCGAACTAGAGAGTGCACCGCCCGTTCGATCGCGTTAGATTAGAGTCCTTTAGAAGGTCGCTTTGCGTTCGCCCTCGCCCGGCCGAGTCACCGCGTGTTTGTATCGTGTAATTGTAAGTCGCGAGAGCGTTCGTTTTGCCGTCATGTGTGTGTCGAATTTGTTAGAGTCTCCGTGTATCGTGAATTATATTCGGTGTCGAGAGCGTTAACTTTCTTGTGTCGCGATAAACGGGCTTCGCCGCAGATCTCGGGCCACGTGCCCGTGCACGCCGCGAACGCGTGAACCGCGTGCGCCCGCGCGCCGACCGCCGTCATCGCGCCCGCAGTATATCGGACGCCCGGATTGTCTCGGGCA